AGTATATCGATGGCCTCTCGCTATCGCGAGTTAGCGGAAGACATTGCACGAACGGGACATTAAGTCGATTGGAAATCGACAGAAAGACTGATTGCATATGTGGGAAATACGAGAAAATGCAAGATCCGAGAGGCCATCGATCGAACGAAATCTAATGAACAGGGGACTTGAAGAAAGCAGGGTCAGCGAAAACTTCGGAAATAGCCTATTAAAATCTGAGGAGACAAGGCAACAGCAAGATCAGCAAAACGAAGACGACTGGATCAAGGTAGCATCTTTAATTTTAGCAAAAGAAATCGCAAGGAGACCAGAAAGTAACAATCAGAAGCCAAGAGAAGACGTCTTCAATGAGCCTAATCAAAACGAGTAGAACCATGACATTTGTGGTTTGGCACACGAGAGATTATAGCATATGAAGTCATAGACTTGGCACTATGGATAGAAGCACGATAGATGCAGCGGATATTAGAGCTAGTTGGCTGACAGTGGATGAGTTTGATCAGAGACGTGATCCATGAAACAAAGGCTTGACCATGAGAATTACTCGGACTCTTTAGCCTCAGTTTAGTCCCCCAGAGGCAGGGTGGGGGGAATAACGCCTCGAGTAGCACAGATGGGGTGGCAAGGGTCGAGTGAAATACGTGAACGATTGAGATAGCACACTGATCCTACGGGGCAAGAGGGAGACTTTGATAAGACCTAAGGAAGGAGGACTGCCTGACAATATGGCAGACTCTGATCAACATTCCCAGCTAAGGGATGAATGGGGTGAGAAATGTAGTGTAGGATGTTGAGTCTTCTCATGAAATCCGCTCAAAACGGCTCATCATACCACATTCAAATGTGTAAATAAGAAAAAATTGTGATAGTGAAGAGGTGATCTAAGGATATAGGATTGGTGATTAGCTTAAGGGTAAAGAAGAGATAACACGATTATTTAGCAGACAATTCAGTTGTCACTTTTGACGAAATGTCGTGTGGTTCTAAGGATGACAAAGCCTATTAACGATGCCGGCGAAGCGTCTGGAAATGTACCACATCCACGATTCGCCTCTGGCAATTATCTTGCATAATATGGACTCTAGATTAGGTGCGTCCCTCTTGGTCGTCCTACCAATATGGCAAAATTGCGAAAACATGATCAAGCAACTGCTATACAATGAAAGGCGGCTGTGACCATACAAAGGCCACACCATCTTGCTCTTCATACCTTCTTTTTTTTCTCTTTATATCTACATTTAGCATGTGTATTACTCAAGGCTGTGCCGACGACTTCCGAAAATAGCAGGTGGACTAAAATAATGCGAGAAGGCTATTCAGTCTATTTTGATCTATTCTTGCTCGCCTTATAGACCATTTATAATAACCTTACTTTTTAAAGAAGTGGGTTGACCTCGTTGTCGTAACTGTCTTGTTTTCAGGGCGGCTTGTTAGAACGCACATAGTCCGAAGTCGTCTGCCATAGTAGTTGTCATGATTCCCAGCATCAAACAGTGTACTTGGTACATTCTCAAATGTTTCGCCGGCATAGTAGTCGGCATCAGCAGTGAGTTTTGCCATTCGACGCACCATGCTACGAATTCGTCAAAAGAGACAAGTGAAGTCAATCCTTCGAGAAACGTTCTGCCGAAAACGGTTACACTATCACTTCTTTTTCTGTCCTGGCCTATCACAACTTCTCACTTGTATACATTCCACTCGTCAAAATGTGTTCCATTTTGTGGCAACTTTAGTGTCGCCCCATCACACTTGCTGATCCGACTCGGACCTCCAATCCAGATCCTCTCATTGTCTCGTTAATCCGTTCCTTATCTTTCTGGTGGACCGATCTTACTCGGTTCCAGTCCCAGTGTGCATTTTACTCCAGGCGCTAAAAGCACGTACACTGCCGCCTCACCGAGCAAAGTGCCTAGGCTCTCATCGCCATGCTTGCAGATATCGGGTCTTACCTTCATGGGTCTTCTCCTTGATTAAAAACATGTTATCTGAGCAAACTGTGGACGCCTATCTCTGCTCGCATGCGGCATTTAAGTGGATTTCTAGTACATTTTAGCCAAAACGCCGAATTTCCGTGACCGTTTGCTTATCCGTCTGCCCAGCTCCCTGACTGCCAGACCCCAAAGTTGTACTGGTTTATTCGAAATGGGCATCACTCACTGACAAACGTCTTCGCTTTATTGCCGAAAACCCCTTTCCCCCAGTTTCTTTCTCGCGATCCCTTTTCCTCCTTGATTCAGACGTCTCCTTTTCGCTGGTCTTGTTCCATTCTTGTTTTCTCCGAGTTTTCTTAGGCAGTAAGCAAAGTTATCGCTAGCTCTACCTTCTTCCAATCTCCTGTTCATTAGATTTGAGAAATAGCGCATATTGAGCCTGGAACCGAGTGAAATCGGTCAACTAGAAAGATAAGGAACGGATCTACGAGACAATGAAAGGATTCGGATTGAAAGCCCGAGTCGGATCAGCCGATCGAAAGAGAGGGGGTCGGG